GTCGGTCTGCTGCACAGATGGTAAAGCAGACGAGGATCTAATGGATGCTTCTACAAAGCTGTGAGTTTGCACTTTTTACAGAATGCAGCAGCTGGTTTCAGATTGGACTGCAGCACCGGGTCAGCGTGATTAATCCTGAGGTGTGCCGAGCTCAGTGGCAGCGAGCACAGGATCTCTGGAGAACGTAGAACGTCCAACTGTGTTCGGACGCCGCTACACGAAAGCAAATCAAAGCTCATCCAAAGTCCAACAGGAACTACTCTGAGTGCACCTTTTTAAAAAACGAATCATAAGCGTGTGACTGAATCCTCACACAGCTTCTCTCTTTTGTGTAAAGCTACCGTTTGCTTTCCTGGCACGTGCTCAGTCAGCATGTTTGCAAGGTCAACAGTGTGTTCAGCTTCTGGGCTGCACACGGACGTCTGTAGAGGAGCTCATGTAGAGGCTCACAGACCAGAGAAATGTACATGACACTTATCCTTGCGGACGCGGGTGACATCAGTTGACCTTAATCAAACAGAAAACCCCACATTGTAGTCGACAGGATGGTTCCTAAGGTGTGTTACGTACAAAACCCCAGAAGACTGAATCAAGGCTGTCATCAGTACACTGCAGCTTCAGAGAGGAAATCCCCCGCCATGGTGCTTATTTCAATAAAAAAACCCAAAAAACAAAACCCCATATGAACATGATGACGCTCAAAAAACTTCACTGTATGAGGTCCTTGAGTACAAATCTGATGTATTTGTACTTTACTATTTAAGTGTACTTCATACACACATCACAACAACAGAATTTAATGTGACGACGTGTATTTGTGGGCTAGTTTTGGTTTAGTTAGTTGTAATTAGTTGTTGTTGTTTGTGCCAAAATAATAGCTGAGATGACAATGCATATATTTAGATTAAAAAGCAGTTCAGATGTTTGCTGTTCTCTTGTAATTTTAAAATAATTTCCCACAAATGTATGTGCCATTTAATGCAAGTTATAGACAAATATAGACGCAGCTCTGTGATAGTTATTTGTGTTCAGTTAATTATGTCAGGTTTATAAAATCANATGGTGAAAGTGTTTGTGATGACAGAGGAGTTTAGGCTCCGGGTTGCTGATCAGAAGGTGGTGGTTTCAGGCTGAGCTGCCACTGCTGGGCCCATCTAAGCTGCTCCAGGATCACCTCATCATAGCCGAGCCTGCACTCTGAACCCAGCTCACTAAAAAGCAGTATAAAATAACAGTATTTATATAATCACGTCACCATTCAGCTGTTTAAAGTCATCCTCCTTGCTCATCTATTCACTTGCTGTACATGCCTGCAGAGTCCGTGGAGGAGGAAAGCAGCATCCTCCACGTCGTCGGCCTCGCCTGCCTTGGAGTCGGCCTGTCGATCTTCTTCATCGTCGGCTTCGTCTGCCTCTTCTACTACCAGAGGAACCGCATTGGACACTACAATTTCAGCGTCAAGCCCAAGCAAGAGAACTTCACCTACTTAGTCTTTAACACCTGAGGGTGCAGTCACACGGTTAGACAGCATAGAACACCTTGTTGCTATTACAGCACAAATACCACTAGGTGTCACTGTTGCACCGTTCAAATTAAAACTCAACAAACACTCTGCACATCTTTGCACAAGTACAGATTATATTTACATCTCATCTGCCCCCTCTATAAATATACATTTAGGATATTACAATGATAGGCTAGCACGGCATGACATCCCGCTACGTGGCTCACATCAGAATTTGCAATGTGATGAGTAATCTGTAAATACATTGTTATGATCATGTAGTCAAATAGGCTTGAAATACATCATTTGTAAAACTGCACAGTTATCACTTTATTGTATTTTAGCTGCTATTTCTTCTAGAATCTGCCTATGTCCTGAATAAGCAGTAACAGAAGTGAGTACGCCCTCGTCGTGCAATATCACAGATTTAAAATGATTCTAAACCGTGTCGTTGTAAGTTGAACAGAAGCACGTTTTAAAACCACAGGAGCAGCTCAGTGCAACAGAAGTCAGTACGCGTTTCATTACTGAGGTTCAAATCGTTTATTTTTGTGATATTTCAAATGTCCTCCTTTATCTGTGATGACAGACTCAGTCCTGCTCAGCACAGACGATATGTTGGTGCATTAATTTCTGGATGGATGTTCTATCGTTCTTCATGGACCATTTTTTTCAGCTGATCTTTGCAGGTGTTTTACTCCTTCAAGTTATAGTTTTCTCTTTTTTTTCTTTAGAAGCTTTTGTGTGATTTTGGCAGAGAGGCTTAGATTGTTTTAATATTCCTCTTCTGTCAAACTTCTACAGACTGAGAGTCAACTCATCAGCCAGTATTTTGCTATATTCACAGATATTTATGCTGCCATTTATAACTGTCATCTCCCCATATCCTCATGTTCATGCTTCACTGTCAGGAACAGGCGTTCACTGTGGTGGTCCTGGTCAGGCGAAGTCATCTCAGTGAAACAAATTTAATTTGGTTTCATCTGACCAAAGAATGGGCTCCCTGTATTTGTTAGACTTTTTTTTAATCTTCTTTAGCAAAGTTAAATCTGACAGTTTTGAACCAGAGAGCGAGCAAAAGTTTCTTCCTAGACGCCGTCCATGGAGGCTGACATTATGCACCATCCGTCACACTGTCTGAGCTGTGATAGAAACTCCAGCTCCCATTGATAGCCCCTGTGCCAAGTCTAAGGCACATGCCTGTTTGTCCTTCAGAGCTAGATTTTACAAATAGCACAATGTCCATGGTGTCATCGGAGGAGGACGGCGGCTCTGATTAGTGCTATGGCTCCTTCTTTAACTGAAGAGTTCATTTGGAACAACAGATAACTTCATCTTCACAAAGCTTCAGAAAACCCACTTTTCCATCGTCCACATAAAACAATATCAGTCAAATGAAGTTATCTCTATTGTTGTCATTTCTACTGAGTAAAATCCTCCCAACTTCAGCTTGATTGATATCATCTCAAGCAAACAACAACAAAAAAACGTTTTCTGAAAATCTACAAAAATTGACTTATCTGTTTTTGCAAATGAACTCTTCAACTGCTGATTACAATTGTGATTCCACTGACTGTTTTTTTTTTCTTTCTTTTTTTTAGCTCATCACTGATCTTCCTGTTTTTCTTTGCATCTTTGTAAAGTCTCAGAATTACATTTTTCAGTTTCTCTGGCATGTGAAGCCACGATACAGACACACAGATAGACACAACCTGGAGGCTCAGAGCTGAGGAGGTTCAGGTTTTCTAACTTGTGCATCAGTGATTTCATGTGTTCACTTCTGTTGCATTGAGTTCCTACTTTGTATTTCAATACAGTCTTTGTAAATTTTTAAATTTTTCATAGGAGTGCATTTGCTAACTGTCAACCATGCAACTACTGAGCGATGATACAAGTTTAAGTTATATTGCATATAGGGTGTACTCACATCTGCTGTATGCTGTACATTCTGCCTTTTGCTGGGGCAACACATCATCTCAGAAACATGACATATACGGCGATATACAGACCTACATTTAGAGTGCTAGAAATATTTTACTCTGTACTGGCTCACGTCAGGGGTTGTAATGTCATGAGCTTGCACTTAACTGCTGCATATCTGTGTACAAATGATCACGTTCATATAATCATGTATGCTTGAAATACACTGCACGAGCATCACTTTATTCTAGCTGCTATATTTCTGCAATAGCAGTTTGTACTATTTGCTACTTGCCTGGAATATACGTTGTGCTGGATGACTCTTCATTTGTGCTGTGTGACAGAAAACATGTCCTGCATGAAATCAGACACTTGGTGGTGCTGCTGCAACACTTCCTCACTTCTACACAAAAAAAACAATGCAAGATGGCTTCCTGCATGCACAACATGTTTACAGTGTTTACAGAGGACAACAAAAGGCGTGAGGTGGTGAAAGAACACAGCTAGTATTATATCATGTATTTCTGGATGAGATGGAGGTCATAGTAGGGGATGTGTGGTGTCACGTTCCTCCTTTATTCAGATCAGCGGATAAGAAAAAGATCTCCAGAAAGCCTTTCTCAGTCGAGCGGAGCCGAAGAGGAGGATCCCCTCATTTCCCATAATCCCACACTGTTGACTACGGGGTCATAAATGCAGCTCCTGGATGGCTGGGCGACGGGGTGAATACTAAACAGGAGAGGCTTTCTCTTTGAGAGGAGGTCCCTGGGGACCTGTGGTGAAGGAGGGCTTACTACCATCTGGAGGTCCGCAAATGCTCCGCCTCCCAATTAACCCATTCAGCCTCACTGTCTGCGACCTGGCAACCCGTCTCTATGGCAACAGCCCGATGGAGGGATGGAGGGAATGATGGATGCGGGGAGGGAGAGCGGGCAGCACTGATCAAAGGAGAGAGAGAGAGAGAGGAGGGCCGTGGTAAAGCATGAAGTCTGCCTTTATTATAGGTTATAAACAATTTCAGGTTTAGTTTCCTCTTCCTCTGTTACGGAGTGTTTTGGTCGTAGTGTGCGGTTAATGTGCTTTTAATGGCACTGGATTTAAAGAGCAATGTGCAGGTGTTTGATAATTTATAACCTTAACACACACACACATGGGAGGACACAACCGGCAACAATCCCCGCCGTTGAATACAGAAAACAAGTGTCTGGGGAGTGATTCTGTTTTCATGAGTCAGGCTCTGGGGACTGGGAGGAGAAATGAGTTTTCCCCACTCTGGACGTTTATGTCCTGGAAGGCGGCGGATCCTTTTATAATGGCTGCAACACGATCCATGCGTCCGCCGTCCTTCCTGTTTTCCTCACATCTGTCCGACTCATCCAGGTCAGGGCGGCTCGGAGACGCTCATTCATCACGCTTTATGGGCTGCGAGCGAAGACGTGCATCCAAAGGCCTTCACTCACAGAGGTCATTACTAATTAAACATCCTGATTGTGCTTTTATAGAACAGCTCAGGACCTTCCTCCAAGCACGTGGGCAGTGTAATGGATTTGTAATCCTCAGAGGTGAGGGGTATAATTGCCCTGTCTGAGGGCTGTTATAAAATATTAGCCACCTAATATGTGGCTTTTTACTTGTCAGTCAATTCTTTTAATGTGTTTAATGTAATGGAGGAATGGATTTAAATACAAATCTTTGGTACTTTATCGGCCTACAGTTCAGAGGGAGGAACTGGACTTTAT